CAAGTGGGAATTTGAATCCATTCAAACTATGTTACTCTAATTTTCAATATTTGTTGGGCGTTCGGTTAGCATTTCAGATTTTTCTTGCGTCTTTCGCTGCTTTAATTCACATCAGAGGCGTTTGTGTTTAGATATTGGTGTCTTTTCATATGAACAATGTTTTAATACCTCTAAGAAAACAATTATCTTTGAATGCAGAGATACCATGGAAGCCCACTCAATAGAAGTAAAAAACCTTGCCATGAATATCCTTACCTTTATAGCAAAAGCTTTAAAAATGGAGGTTGGTGATACGAGGGTGCTATTTGAAGAAGGGATGCAGGGAATGAGGATCAATTACTATCCTCCATGTCCTCAACCGGAGTCGGTCATTGGCCTGACCCCGCACTCGGATTCCGGCGGCCTCACCATTCTCCTCCAAGTTAGTGAAATCGAAGGCCTCCAAATAAAAAAGGATGGAATTTGGATTCCGGTTGTTCCACTCCCTAATGCATTTACAGTCAACATTGGAGACATCTTGGAGGTAATCTATAAAAGCAAATGGCCTAATCTTTTGGACATTTAGGTGGCCGTTGATGCAAAAATTGCGAGACTCAATTGAGAAATATATCAAGTATTCGACTTACACGTCAGTCAAATGTTGTCGGGTCATTTTGGCTATTTGTCAGCTATTTGTTAACCCTAACATCATTTGTTTAATCAGTATGTCATGTTCGTGAGCATATATGGATAACAGTGAATCAGAAACCTAGGACCGGTACCCTCTTTTCGTTTCAATTAAACTAACCACTTACAAGTCTCCAATAAACTAGCAATTCACTTGATCTAAATGCTGGTTAAATCAAGGAAAAAATACAAGGATTCACACAATGCCAGAACAAAGAATAAAAAAAAAACAAACATTTTCTTTCTGTAATACCAATTAAGCGGGTTTATTTTGTCATGTTGTTCATTGTTAACAGTAATCCGATCGATTTGTTATACGTTTGTTGACACATATTTTTGCAGATTGTGACAAATGGAATTTACCGCAGTATTGAGCATCGAGCAGTAGTGAATTCAAAGAAAGAGAGGCTTTCCGTCGCCGCTTTTCTTAGCCCAAAATTAGATGGAGATCTAGGACCAGCTCCAAGCCTTATCAATGAACAAACACCAGCATTATTCAAAAGGATTGGTGTTGCAGATTTCTTCAGGGGATATTATTCTCGCAAGCTTGAGGGAAAATCATATTTGGATATCATGAGGATTGAAAAAGATGGGCAAAAATATTAAGTACCATTCAACTATTGGAATCGGCATTGGAGCTCGACACATATACCTCCAATAACTCAATCAAGTCTTATCTCGACTATTTAGTTCGGTTACATTATATATGTCCCTCCTTTCAATATATAATCGGCAATAATGTTTGCATAAAATGTTGGATTAAATGTTGTACTATAGTACTACTGGACATCTTTTATCAGAATATTGGAATGCATGTTGTAATTTCGGATTAAAATATAGTCATGTTGTGTTATTTTGGATTAATATCGAGGATTAGTTAATCTTTAAACAGTAACATATTAGCAGTCTATCTTATGTCATGGTACTAACGTGCATTGTTATTAATCTTGTGGGTTGGATGACACTGAAAATCGTGAACCGAAAACACATGATTATAACAGTCTACCCACATGACTATAACAGTCTACCAAATGAAGAAAATGAAAAGATCGAAAAACTTCATAAGTTCATTTAGTTGTCTTGTTAGAATTTGATTATTTGTGTCCGATACTAATCCGATTTATTCATGATTCGTGTTAGCGACTCATTTTATTTCAGAGTTTACGAGAACTAGTCCATCATAACCCACTGATTTTTTGTTGGATTTATATCATTTTAAACTGTCATGTCGAAAATTACCACTTCTAATCCTACTATTTTTCGTTGATATATTTTGCAAATTGTGGCAATGGAGTTTACCATAGTATTCAACGTTGTAGTTGTGCATTCAGAGACTGAGACTTTCTTAGCCCAAAATTAGATACAGATTTGGGGCCACTAGGAAGCCTTATCACTAATCAAACCAATTGATACTCTCACAAAGCTTTTGACCGGCATAGATGGCTTATAATTGATCAAATCGAGAAGATGATTAGTTGAAGTGCGTGTAAACTGACCCGAACACTCTTGACTGTTGAACCAAAAAAAAAAAAAACCAATGCTTTGTATCTACTATTCAAGGTTGATTACATGAATTATTCACGCTCCGCTCAATTGTATAAATCATCATTTATGTTGGTCACACGTACCAAAATCATAAAAAACAAAAATCTCTTTCTTCTTGTAATGTCATTTAATCCAACGGCCACCAATATCGCTCTCGAAACTATTCACATTGAATTCCCTCTCCCCCTCCTCCTCCAAACTCATCACTTCTCACTTACATTACATCTTATTTTCAGATTCAGATTAGCCCTAGTCATTTATATATTACTCGTGTTAATAGATTATGCTATTTATTTACTACTTGTGTTAATAGCCCAAGCTACTACAAGCACCACCTGACCACCTTGGGCCTTCGTTAAACCAATGAATCACCCCAAGCCGTTGTAAGCGCAAGCCCAATCTACCACAAGCACGACCTGATCTGACCACCTTGTGCTTTCTATGTGAGATAAACCGAAGAAAGAAAGGGTATTAGATGTATTTTGAATCAGAAAAGGATTCATATAAAGTTTGTTTGGTTTGATAGGTTTTACTGAGGGTATCTCGTGCATGAAGGGATGGCGCAATGTGAATAATTTTGAGAAATATGTTAGTGGCCGTTAGATGAATCTATTTGAAATCGTCGGATAAATTTATTGAAACATGTCATATTTTATATTATAGATGAGTTTTATCTAACACCCACGTATAAGGATTTATCTAATCCCCACATTTATAAGCTTTATTTGTGGGTTTTTTTTTATAAAATTTGGGGGTGAATTGCACTTTGAATCTTAAAAGATTCTAAAATTTTTATTTTACACCCTAAAAGATTAAATTTATTAATAGATTGGTTTTTGACAGAAAAAGTAACAGAAGCTAATAGAAGGACTACATTGTAACACTTTTAATACATTGAGTGTGCAATATAAAAAATTTAATTTTTGAAGGTACAAAGTAGAAAATTTGAAATCTTTTAGCGTAAAAAGTGTGAAAAACCCCTAAAATTTAAAGGTCATTTATAACTTTTGTGAATTATTTAAAACTTTTGAGGATTATTTACAACTTTAGGATCACCTAAGATTGATCCTAAAAATCATTTACAACTTTTGAAGGCTACTTGCGATAGATCATAAATTTTTAGGATCATTTAGAAGTAACCCTCAAAAATTATAAATAATCCCACAAAATTGTAACTTGGACTATAAAAATTGTAATAAGACCTCAAAAGTTGTAAATTATTTTTGTTGTAAACAAACTCAAAAACTTGTAATAATTTCAGCCTACAAAACTTATAAATTTTGGAGAGTGAATTACAAATATGGCTCTCAAACTATGACCCCTTGTATCAATTAAACCCCTAAACTTCTTTTGTGTGTCAATTGAGCCCCTGAACTCTCCAATTGTGTCAATTAATCCCTTTTGTCTGCCTCCGTTAGATTTTCTAATGAAAGTGGCAAAATGTATGAGTTATAGTAAACTACACACATGGTCCTCAAATTATGATTTTTATGTCAATTAAACCCTTGTACTTTTTTTTTTTTTTGTTAATTGAACTTTCGAACTCTCTAATTGTATTAATTAAGCCCTTCTAACTTTTTGTGTCATATTGTCACGTGAGTGGCACACTCTAACAAACGCAGACAAAAAGGCACAATTGACACAATCCGAGAGTTCAGAAGCTCAATTGACATAAAAAAAATTCAAGGATTTAATTGATACAAGTTTATAATTTGAGGATTATATATGTAATTTACTCAATTTTGCAAATACAGTACCAAATTTTTTTTGACAATAAAGTAGTCTCTTGTTTATTTGTCTCCCCTCTTTTTCATCATCTCCACCATTCTCTTCGCTTTGTACATTTCCAATCAGATCATATGAAATGACTGTAATTTTAGATTCCCACTACTATCGGCCCAAGCCTTCGCTCCATGGACTAAGCCTCAGAAAATTTTCCATTAAAAACCACACAACATTATTTCGGGTCTGGTCATCATCCGGATCGCATATATAAACTAAACTCCATAAAAAAAAACCAACAAATGGATCAGAGTTGAAGTGAATTTTGCTAGTCTGAATTCAGATTTTATTTTAAAAGTTCGATTCAATTATCCAATAGATTTTATTTTCAAGATTCATGTCTTAATCCGTTAAGAATAATAAATTCAATTTGACCCAAATACAACTAGTGCATGAAAAATTTTTGGTAGGTTGCAACTTAGGCAAGCCAACCCAAATTCAACCAAAAAAAAAAAAAGGGATTGGGTTAGGCTTGGGTTAAAAACATCAACCCGAATTAAATTTAGACAATACCTAAATTGATGCCACGATACCTGGGTTTAACCCAATTATACATTTAGATTCAACCCGAATATTTTATTGGGCCCAATTTGAATATTATAGTTAAACATTAAGTTCAGTATGCTTTTTATATTAATTTGGCTATATTAGTCATTATTTTAAGAAAAAGTGTAATTTGATTTTTTTTCCAATATGATTTTTTATATTTTAAATACTATAGTATTTATATTAAATATTTAATTGAAGTTATTGATTGTTACTTCAAGTAAATATTGTATAGTATGTACTAAATTTAGAATAACATTTTAATTTCGGACATAAACAAACTCAACTTGTCCAAATTTAACTTAAATAATACTCGGATTGAATACTTTGAATTGAGGTCGGATTAGAAATGGAATTAAAGTTAAAAATTTAATACTGAAAATTGGATGACTTTTCAACCGTCCCAAGACGCATCCTAAATTTTTGGGGGTAGAGGAAAGCAAGTCAAAAGGTGCTGTTCAAAGAAAAGCAAGATTCTCCTTTGTTTGTCTCCACCAAAACCTTTTCTTCTTCAGTTCAAAAAAAAAAAACCTTATCTTCTTCCTCAACCTGATAGTTTGAGTCCATGGAGTCATCTCCAGAAGAAGTAGCAGTAATTTTTGGAAAATCACTGATAGTGTCTAGCGTCCAAGGGCAGGCCAAACAACCCATCACACAGATCCCACCTTGATACGTTAGCCGAGATGATTGGGAGCCTCCTCCGATCATATCCACTGGCATGTCGATGCAGTCGGTACCCATCATCGATGTACACAACTTAATCGTTGGAGAGACTGTGCATTCTGAACTGGAGAGGCATCACTCAGCTTGTAGAGAATGGAGTTTTTTCCAGGTTAGCTTTCTGTCATTGTTGGTGATATTGCCAAACACAATCTTAACTCAAACCTTGGTATTTAGTACGTGAGTAACGCCACTTGGACTAAGTTGATCTACGCATTTAATTTATTATTATTATTAGTTTAATTATAAGCTCATATTAATTCATTTTGGCTTCAGTTATTGATCTAATAAATCATTACTATTGAATTAATAGTAAATTCGATCCTATTAATGGGGCCCGCTGGTAGGTTTACCTGCATACCTTGTTATATTATGCGTTGTATTGGATTTTGATGTAATGTTAATATGTTATTGACAGATTGGTGGGGGGCCATTTAATTTTAGATCCCACCGCCAAAATTAAATTTCAATGGCGTTGATCATGAATATGATACGGTTTGTTATTATTAATTTTTGAGATGTAATTTTAAGGGTCATCCACGGGCTGGCCGGACCTAGCAGTTAACGGTCCGACCGTACTGTCAATACGCAACAGACTGTATCGACCCAGTCTTAAAAGGTTGGCCCAAGGCCTGACCGATGATTTCGCCCAGATGGACATTCGCATACTACCCAAATGGATCGTATTCAAATTCAGGAGGTGTTTGTGAGCCGAATAGTCTGGCAGATGGGTAGGACCTTAGGCTCACTTGCAACTACTCAAAAAAGGATATGCTCGAATGTTTTGGAGACTGACATTTCTATACCGAGTCGGATGCATGTGAAAAGGATGAACAAATTGATAGCACTAGTCTATTACGTGAATAGAAGTACACCACACACATTAGTGCCCAAAAAGAGAAGAAGTGTGTTTTTTTCTTTATTTTACCCACTAGTTAAGGCATATACTTCTCATTGTCTAGCCTTATGATTTACCGATTCTAAAGGAGATAATAAATGCACTACTTCTCAGTGCACTTTCATGGGTTGCTCACACATTCTTTACAAACAGATACTATTTGGTGCAAGAATTTATTTTTCCTTTCTCTCATCGGATTGAGAGTGGTATGCGAATGGGATTTTAAGAATCTTTCTTTGCGAAGTTTAGAAAGACCCCTTCGCAAGTTGTTTGTGAGCCAAATAGTCTGGCAGGTGCGTCGGACCTCTAGCTAGCCCGACATTCGGGGCTGAATGGCCTATCCAGAATAGCCCATCTCTAGATGGGCTACAAGACTGAAAAGTTTGGTTGCTGGTGTTTACGTAAATTCGTATATGTTTATTAGGTGCCTATATTTATAATAATTCTGATGAAAAGAAATGACTTAAAAAAGTTATTAATCAAATGAACCAATCCTGCATGATCATTGTTTCAGTTGGTCCTGAAAATTGACCAGAAACAGATCAATTTGATTCGATTTGCAACCTTTATAATTTAAGAGCTCTATTAAACCTTAATTGCTAAGCTCATCCAACCAATTTGATTTATTTTAGCAGGGTCGTTCCCTACTTCTTGTTTGTGTCTAAATGACAATAGGGACGTACTAGTTGAAAGTTATCATTTTGGGTTTTTTTTTATGGCACAGTGTATGAATAGAGGCTCTACATGCATTGAAAGATTTTATCAAAATATTATTTGGACCAAACTTAATAACATAAACGGATGATGTAATAACATCAGTTATTGGATTGACAATGCATTCTATTGAACATTGGGTCCCCAGCTAATATAACAAAGAGAATGAATTAGATTAACGAATTGGGTCAAAAAATTTAGAGTTTTTTCTGGTTTGTTATGCAGGTTATAAACCATGGAGTGAGTGCTTCACTGTTAGAGGACTTGAAGAGAGAGATTGTTAATTTCTTCCAACAACCTTTGGAAGAAAAAACAAAGCTATGGCAACAACCCGACAACCATGAAGGGTTTGGCCAGCTCTATGTTGTATCAGAGCAGCAGAAGCTTGATTGGTCAGACATGTTCTACATAACCACCCTTCCGCCCACTCTAAGGAAGACCCAATTGTTTGAAAAGTTACCTCCAAAGCTCAGGTCTCTCTCTCCCTCTCTCTCTCTCTCTCTCTCTCTCTGAGAGACACTTGATGGACATTCTGCCAATAATGTGGGTGTGTTTGTAGTGTTCTCTTTGAACAAGAACGGTTTTATGCAACCACCACGGATTCGTTCAGTGATTGAAAAACAGATGTGACATAAACTCGCACATCTGAGCTCAAATTACTCTTTCCTAATTTTGTTTAACAGATGAGCTTCATTGGTGGATAATTGGGTGCATCTAAAGTTTGAGATAAAGTCGTTCCACCAAAGATTGAAATTGCCAAAGGAAATTGTTTTATTATAGATAATGTGATTTCAGCTTCATGGTAATTTGCAGAGAGACGATGGAAGCTTACTCAATAGAAGTGAAAAAGCTAGCCATGACCATCTTGAGGCAAATGGCCAAGGCTATAAAGATGGATGATGAGGAGATCACAGAACTATTCACTGATAGGGTCCAAACAATAAGAATGAATTACAAGCCTCCATGCCCACAGCGAGATATGGCCATTGGCATCACTCCTCACTCTGATGCAGATGCCCTAACAATTCTTTTTCAGCTCAATGAAACGGAGGGCCTCCAGATTAGGAAAGATGGGAAATGGGTGCCTATAAAACCACTTCCCAACGCTTTTGTAGTCAACGTTGGTGAAATATGGAGGCAATATTTACTCTATAAATAATATAGCTTGAAATTCGAAGTGAAATCAGGCCGAGTCAGTCCTAACCCAATCCGAAATATTAGTGTTTGAGTAGTAATTTTTGATACTTGGGTGAATTTTGGACTAAAAAAAAAAGCAAAAGAATAACTAAATTTGGGCAATAATCGGATTGAGAGATCAAGTTTTTCAGACCTAACCCAAATAAGCAAAAAATGGGGTTTAATTAAATTCGACAATACTTGAATTGCGATGAAAGTTTTTTTGATACTCAATCAGAATAAGTGGAATTGGGTTTATTCAAAATTGGGTAATACTCAGATTGAGGGAACGGGTTTTTGAAACTTAACCTAAATAAGTTTAATCGAGCATAACTGGGATTGACTCTGAATTCTAATCCAAGTTGTGAAACCTGAGAATCAGACATTGTATTCGTAGGGTGTAATCAAAGTAGAAATTTGATAACATGAAATTTGTCCTGTGCCTTGACAGATTGTGAGCAATGGTGTGTATAGGAGCATTGAGCACAGAGCAACAGTTAACTCAACCAAAAAAAGGCTGTCCATTGCAACATTCTGCAGGTCCAACCTACACTCACAACTGGGGTCTGCACACAGCCTTATTGGACCCCATCACCCAGCAGTTTTTTGACAAGTCCCCTTTGAATAGTATTTGAAGGAATTTTTTGCAAGAAAACTTGATGGTGAGTCATACCTTGATTTCATGAGAATTTGAGTTGGGAGGGTGACAATAGATTGAGAAAGAGGCCAGCTATCCATGTTGGAGATATAAATTTGGGTCAATCCCATTTTGTCCAATGAAAGATATTAAAATCTTTAATTTGTCCCCCCGAATGATTTGTTTTTTCACATTATCCCCTCCAAAAAATAAAAATGTTGTAATGTGGTTCACCGTTTTATTTCTGTTTGGTTGTCCGTTTGTGTTGTGATTCCTGATTGGAAATTTGTTTTGAAGAGACAAATTTCTGAACCGAAATAGATGACGTATTGTAGGGTCGGATTAGTTATATGAGTTGCAAGGAAAGCCAATAAACAAATAAGAAAAAGGAATTCAATATGGGAATATAGAACAAATCTATTACAAATAGATGTCTAATGTGTTAATCTTCATGACAGCCTGTTCATATAAATGTTATACTATGCAATTTTCCGGTGGTAGAATATGATAACAAGGCCAAAAATTTGGAATGTTTTGTGCAAAATCAACAAATATTAAGTCTATTTTCTAAGTTCATGTAATATTATTCTATAAAAAAAAAATCATTTTTTCTTTTTTTGTAGATGGTGATCATTATTGTTTGTAAAAAAATGTCCTATTGAAAAGTAAAATTTGGTATCATACCAATAAGTAAAAATTACTTTAAAACGTAGTAAAATTTATTCCAAAAAAATGATAAGTGAGCCCAAAAAGTATATTCATCTCAAAAATAAATAAACTTCATCAAAAATATCATATAAATACTAAAACAAGAATAATGTTGCTGACACCACCTTTGTGCACCACTTATCTTACACCACCTATGTGATACAATTAGAGTCATCGGAAATTTAATAAACTTTGTAAGACATACTAATTTAATGATTTATATTGAGGTGATGCACAAAAATGATATAAAAAAGTGTCGTGTGTAGCATTTTTACAAAAAAAAAAAAAAAGATAAATGATATGGTACCCATTTTTTTTTTTTTGGTGCTGTATTTAATTTCTTATTGATTTTCAAGTCCCAAACACAGTCAAATGAAATCTCAAACGTGGCCTAGTAGGAAGGTATTACGGTGGAAGATTTTGTTGCCGGGCAGACTTAGATGCTCTTGTTTTGTAACAAGAAATCGTCCACTCCTCCTATGATTAATTTAAAGTTCGTGTCAGTCTCAGTCTTGTCATATTTAGGTTAGTGGTATGTCCTTTTTCATATTACAGACATTATGAACTTGCAAAGAAGTGGTCCTATCAGCCCAGCTGAGTCATTTGCACAACCTGATCAACAATCCTCCAAATGAGCAATTTGGGCCACAAGAGGAGGAGGGACGAAGAGTAAAGCAACGGATCTCTTTTAAGGATAACCTCACCATTGTCACGTCACCACCTTGTAAAATGTCACATCATGATTAAAGAAATGTCACATCATATCACCCCATAATTTGTCTAAAATAAAAATAATTTGTCCTATAAAAAATTAATTGTAAGATAAATTACGCTTTGATTACTTTAACTTTGGACTCTATTTTGCCATGCTCCTTGAACTATTAAATTTTTTATTTTATTTCCTCAACTACTTCAATTATTTCACATAGTTTTAAATACAAGGGACCGTTGTCTTTTTGGGATGAAAATTTCCAATGTTTTGGGGGCAAAGTAAAAAAAAATTCATAATTTAGGGGTAAAATAAAATTATTTTTTGTCAAATTTACCATGAATGTTTATAATTAGGGCAACATTCACCAAATTCTAATCCAAACAAATACTTTTGAATGGTTAAAGGGAGAAGGGATGTACAGTAGAAGAGATGGAGGGAAGGCAAGATAAGTGAAAAATGGTTTGGGCGGAAAAAGAGATGGAGGGAAGGTAAGAGAAGTAAAAAATAGTTTGGACGAGAAAGTGGGTGGATGAAGAAGATAAGGTTTTTGTGATTTGTGGACCACAATATTCACTAGAAAATAAGAAAAATAATATATTATAATTTATGGTGTGTAAGTGTAATTTACATGTAAAGAATTAAGACCGGCCGAAGAAATGCAAGGCCGATCAGGGGTTAATATCACATTTTTATCCCTTAAATAATCAAAAAAAATTTACTGTCCAAAAATATTCAATATTTTTTAAATAGTCTCATTTTTTATGAACAACAAATAAATAATTAATAAAATCAAATACTTAAAAGAATTGAAAATAATACTTCCAACTATTTGGGTCAAAGTTATAACTTTTTTTTGATTGGGTTCCTATTTTTTGGGTGACTCGGATTAGCTAGGTTACAACTGTTTTAGTCAGATTTCAACCATTTTGGATTGAGTTATAAGCTTTTGGTATGAGGTTTAATTTTTTAGGATTCGTTTATATTTTTTTTGGGTGGTTTGAACTTTTTAAAATAGAGTTTCAACTTTTATGCATTAGTTTACATTTTTGGCTCACGTTTCACTTTTTTTAATTGAGTTATAACTTTTTTTGAGTTGGTTCTAACTGTTGTGTACAGGTTCCCAACTCTTTGGGTTTCAATTTTTGTTTGAGGTTTCAACTTTTTTTGAATTTAATTATAACTTTTAATTCAGTAGAGGTTCCAATTTTTTAGTAGGGGTTCGAACTTTTTTGTGGTGGGTTCCAACTTTTTTTTTAGGGTAGGGGTTCCAACTTTTTAAAATTGAGTTATAACTTTTTTGAGATGAGTTCTGGGGGAGGGTTCTGACTTTTATAGTG